ACACCCAAGATCAGAGAGCACCAAGGACCCCACAGTCCTCCTCCTCCCTCCTCCTCCCTTCTAGCGCTGATGATGTTCCCTAGTTGGGTCATGAAACGTCCGCAAGAAAACCACCAAGCTCAGGGTGCACCAAGGACCCCACAGCTACAAGTATTCGCTTCGATTGAGTCCTCTAATTGCTCAGCATCTCTCAAATCCTGCCCCTTTCTGATTAATCCAGAGCTTTGCCTGGAATATTGAAACTTCCTCCGAAGAACAAATTAAAAAGGTCTTTGCAAGACAAGCCAAAATTGCTACCTTTTAAAATCGCTACCCTGCAGATGGGTGCTTTACAACTCCCAGCATTTTTGACACTTGTTTTATAACGAGACAGCTCGAGCACCGTGACTTATTTCTGCAAATGTTGGAAATAAAACTTTCCTTCTATCTCCATCTTTTTTTTTTCCTCCCTCCCTCCCAAACATCTTATCCTCTCTTTGCCCTGGCATGTTCTCTTGTGCATGTCTGTCTTCTACACTTCAGCAAACGTTTTGGCGTTTTAATTAGAGCTTTTCCCAACTCCCTTGACAGATGCCTCAGCACTGGGGACCCGCTTTGATTTTTATCCTAGCAAAGCTTTCTCGAGAGTCTGCTGTGAGAACTTCAGAAAATGCTGTTCAGAAAAAAAGGTCATTTCTCTCCCCCCCCCCCCTTCGGTTCTTTTCATGCATTGAAAAGACTGCTTTATCCGTGCTTTGAAATTGCGCAGACTTCGGCCCTTTTTGGATGTTCAATATCTGTTCTGAGCTGACCACCGTCACGCTCATATTCCTTTTTTTTTTTTTTTTTTTTGTCTTCACAAAGATGATTCTGTTTGAAATGGTAAAGGGGAGCAAAAAATGCAAGGATTTGTCCAAGCAGGCAACAGGAATCTAGGGTAGCACCAAAGCAAACAAACAAACAGGAGCGGTTGCATCCACACAACTTCCTTAATCTGGTTCTAGTGAACTGTCAAGCGAACAAACAGGAGGGCTTTGCATCGCAGCCGGGAATCACACCAAGGTTATCGTGTTGTGTAAATATCCCAGTTGAGCCCGTTAGGCGGCTTCATCATCTAAAACCTTGTGGGGGGGGGAGAGAAGGAGCCGCGTTTAAATTTTTCACCAACTTGGCGGATCTGCTAAAATAAATTCTGCAAAAGGCAGCTAAAATTAGGAACGTTCGATGCATGCAGCAGTTATCCTCTGCTCTTCCAGCGTCAAGGAAGACCATCTCTTATTGATTGGTCAGGTCGGTAGGTCGTCTTATTGATCGGTCAGGTTGGTAGGTCGTCTTATTGATCGGTCAGGTCAGTAGGTCATCTTATTGATCGGTCAGGTCGGTAGGTCATCTTATTGATCGGTCAGGTCGGTAGGTCGTGCCGGCTGAAGGTGTAGCGATGGTGGAATTTCAGCCTAATGATGAAGTGTTTCCAGGTCAGAGTTAAAGAACTAGAAATCGGATGCTGGTTTAGACTTCCTGCTATCAATTTTGATGTTCAAGCTTGTTAGGCAAACCCATTTCTTCATGTTGAATTTGCAATTTCAGGTCCTGAATGCAGTTGAAAAAAAAAAAAGTGGTTTGGTTTGGTTTTGTTGGTTAAAAATAAAATTTTAAATAAAAGAAAAAAAAAGTGGTAATTTAATCATCAGATTAACCATATTGTATGAAGTTAAGCAGCACACATAGTGGTCAAGTTCAGTCGTTTAGCTTCAGGAACGTAGTTTCAGAACAGAATAACAGTTGGAAGAGACTTTGGAGATCTTCTAATCCAACCTTCTACTCAGGCAGGAAACCCTGTAGATTGGTCCAAATGGTTGTCCAGTCTTTTCTTGAAAACTTCCAGTGATGGAGCACTCACCGCTTCTGGAGGCAGGTTGTTCCACTGGTTGCTTCAAGACGGTTGCTTCAAGCCAGTTCCACTGATCAATTATTCTTACTCCAGGAAATTTCTCCTTCATTTTACATTGGATCTCTCTTGGATAAGCTTCCACCCGTTACTTCTTGTCTTGCCCTCTGGAGAACAGATTAACAGAATAAAAGAGTTGTTCAGAGGACCTTGGGGGTCATCTAGTCCAACCCCCTGCTCAGGCAGGAAACCCTACACCATTTCAGACAAATGGTTGTTCAATCTCTTCTTAAAAACTTCCAGTGTTGGAGCTTTCACCGCTTCTGGAGGCAAGTTGTTCCACTGGTTAATTGTTCTCACTGTCAGGAAGTTTCTCCTTGGTTCTAGGTTGCTTCTCTCCTTGATTAGTTTCCATCCGTTGCCCTTCTTTCCTTCCTCCCTTCCTTCCTTCCTTCCTTCCTTCCTTCCTTCCTTCCTTCCTTCCATCCTCCCTCCCTCCCTCCCTCCCTCCCTCCGTCCCTCCTTAGTTCTAGGTTGCTTCTCTCCCTGATGAGTTTCCACCCGTTGCTTCTTGTCCTGCCTTCAGGTGCTTTGGAGAATAGCTTGACTCCCTCTTCTTTGGGGCAACCCCTGAGATATTGGAACACTGCTATCATGTGGGAGATAACAGAACAACAGAGTTGGAAGGGACCTTGGAGGTCATCTAGTCCAACCCCTGCTCAGGCAGGAACCCTATACCATTTCAGACAAATGGCTGTCCAGTCTCTTCTTAAAAACTTCCAGTGTTGGAGCATTCACAACTTCTGGAGGCAGGTTGTTCCACTGGTTAATTGTTCTCACTGTCAAGAAGTTTCTCCTTAGTTCTAGGTTGCTTCTCTCCTTGATGAGTTTCCATCCGTTGCTTCTTGTCCTGCCTTCAGGCGCTTTGGAGAATAGCTTGACTTCCTCTTCTTTGGGGCAGCCCCTGAGATATTGGAAGACTGCTATCATGTCACTCCTAGTCCTTCTTTTCGTTAACTTAGGTCATCTGCCTAGCCTTGGCTAAACATATAGGGGTTTTTGGATTTATAGCAAGACAAATGCAGTTGGATCTGATGTGAAATAGTATTTTCTAGTTTCACCAAACATCAAACGATCTTTTGCCTGCAGATGGACAGAAAGGATTATACATTGATAAAGGCTCCATCTTCCCCTACTGAGCATTTCCAGAGAGCTCCCCGGAAAAATTTCTTTAAAATCCTGGAAAGCTTTGGCCAGAGATTTAAATTACAAAAGTATTTAAATTACAGACTCGAGTAATTAAATTTAAATTAAACCAGTAAATTTGAATTTACCGACCGAAGTCGGTAAGAAATACTGACTAGTGGGTGGTGAGTCGGTGATTCAGCTTTATGTCCCTTTTCGAGAATATATCCTCAGTCGATATTGCTTTCCATAAAAGTTGGGAAACTCTTTTAACGAATGCTGCCGCTCCTGTTCAGCCTCCCCCACGCCCTCTTCCAACAAATCGTAATTACATTTTAACCTGCCCAGGGTTTTTATGCATTTTGCTCATCCAAACGTGAACGCTGTCCCCGAAACCGTAATTTTGCAGTCAACGTGGGGGAAAAATTGGTCTAGACTTCTCTGAATATGAAATTTTTTTAGGTGGCCAAGGAATTGCTGCTGGATGTTTTATCTCCTGCTTGGGAAAATTAGAGAGTCATCCGGTGTCTTCCGGGTGGCAGAAGGTGTCTCATCAAAAACAGGCTATGAGAGAAGGGATGGTTTCTTTGCATCAGGTCAGGACTTGTTCTGTGGAAGACGGCTCTCAATTTCTTAATGCCTGAAGCTTGCAAATAAGACGTTTCAAATTGGACATCTCTTGTTAGTTAGAAGTCCGCGGAGCTTCCCAGCCCTCCAGGTCACGCTTGTCCCAAAGGTGCTTTTTGCAGAAAGCAACTGGACTTCCGTTGTTTTTCCTTGAAGGCGTTTCGCTTCTCCTCCATGGAGCTTCTTCGGTTCATGAACTAAACTTGAGCTGCTTCATGTACTGAAGAAGCTCCTCAAAACCTCTCCAAGCAAAAACAAAGAAAGTCCAGTTGCTTTTTGCAAAAAAGCACCTTTGGGGCTTTTGTTAGAAAAGGACAGCATAAGAATATCACCAGAAAGATCATTCAATTTATTTTAGAACTTGGGAAAATTTTTATCAATGGTTAGAGACACGTTAGAACGTGAAGGATTTAATAGTTTAGAATAGATGACTGATTTTTAATCAAGTTCTAACTAACATTTTGATGATACGATTACTTTTCCCGATTTACTGATTTTTATTTGTTCCTTTTGATTGTTAGGATTTATTTTTTATTCTATTTTACTTTATTTTATTTCTTTTTTGTGTGATTTTTATTAGTGTTTACTTAATAGATTAACGTATTTGTTTACTAATTATTTTTAATATGTTACAGTTTAAGCTTTGTTAAAAATGGTTGAATATGATACTTACTCATTATTATGAACAGCCCAGTCATTCTATGATAGAAGCAAAGAGAAGATTTTCTGCCGTGCGCTACTCAATAACATTGGACTGATAACCAACCTGTAGCCAATTCCTTAGCTGGTCTGGGAGGATATTTTCTTATTACTGAAACCGCTTGCTTTCCAGAAAGCTATTAGTCCAGTGGTTCTCAACCTTTTTAATGCCGCAACCCCCCCCAACCGGTCATAAGTCGAGGACTACTCAACCGGTCGTAAGTCGAGGACTACTGAACTGGTGCAGCACCGTTTGCAGAATGGGACTTTTGGCGGGCTCAGCAGGGCAGAGGCAGCCTGGACAATTCCTATTGGCTTTTGAAAGCCAATAGAATTAGACTCTATTCAAGAGAGTCTAATTCTGTTGGCTTTCAAAAGCCAATAGAATAAAAGGGAGTAGCACAGCTAAGGAAAAGGGGGAAAAAATGGCGGACTGCGTTGTTTGGCGACCCCCGTGAAATGGTCGTTTGACCCCAAATGAGGTCCCGACCCACAAGTTGAGGACCACTATTAGTCGATCAGGAGGCTTGTTGACCTTCCAGGGCTTTCCTGGGTGACTTGCAACCCCAGCTTCCTAGAAATCCCCCCCCCCCACTTAACTCTTCACTGCCTTCCTTTTTAGACGGTCAGTAACATCCCCTGCGCTCTGCTGACCGGCATCCGGACGTTGCCGGCCCTAGAACCCAAGGTGCCCGAAAGGCCTACAAGCAGATGCAGAGAGCTCCCCAGGGAAGAAGAGAAAGAGAAGAAGAAGAAGAAGCACAAGAAGAAGTCCAGATCCCGCTCGCAGACCCCTCCTTTGAAATACCACTCCTCTTCCAAATCCAGATCCCGATCCCATTCGAAAGCGAAGCACTCGCTTCCCACGGCGTACAGAACCGTCCGGCATTCCAGGTGAGTTTTTTCTAACTCGTGAAATGCTTAAAAGCGCTTTTTGGGGAGGTGTGTGGGGTGGACATCCTGCTTCTCGTTTGCCGTACAGCTCTCTCTCTCTCAGCGCCGCCTGATATTTTTAGCCGCTCCCGCGTTAAAAGGCGGGCACGACGCGCTTTCTGAAAGTAACATGTTTAGACCAAGGAAAGCTTTCGTTCTCGGTACGTCTGCCCGGGGTTCAGGGCCCCCCCCCCCCAAAAAAGAAATAGGTGGCAGATTGCTGAAGCCAATTAAGGGTGTTAGACAGCTTCGTGTCAGTTGCCAGGGGCAAAAAAAGATGGCATTTTATCCACGTTTGCCAAAGCCACCGCGTCTCTTGACACGGAGCGTCAGATGGTTCCCATACCTGCTGCACGCCTCTTTAGGATACGAGATTACGCTGAAGATTAAGGTATATAAATTAGGGAGAAGTTGATCAAAACGATAGGAGAGTCTCGTCAGCCTTTAGAAAATCCATAATGAAGGTTCTTCAAAAGCTTAAAGTTTTGGAGACTTTTGTTGTTTTAAAAAAAGGACCACGGAAGATGTTGGTTCTGTTTATTTTAAAAAAATGCAAATAAACGTAAGTGAAACGTGCCATTTGAGTCGTGCAGGCTGGGATAGGAAACTTTTCTTTGACAGCTAGATGTCAAATCTTGCACGTTCTGGTTAAAAAAAAAAACCATACGGCTCCTTCACCCTGTGTCTGTTCGATTACTGTCCTGAGTCCCCCAAAGCAGAGCCTGGGAGACATAAAGCAGCTTCTGCCTTACTGAATCTGAAGATTAAATTAGTTTTTTTAGATTGGAAGGGACATCAGACAACCTTCATACATGCCACTGCTGGCTTCCTAACAGAGGAAAACTGCAGTAGGGAAATGAACGCTTTGTTTTTTTAACAATCCGTCTTAAGGATTGTTTAAAATCACTGGGAAAACAGGTCCTTTCTCTGCAGGAAAAACTCAGCTTGGATCCTCGGATAAAAGAGACAATGCAAATGACGGAGAGACTTGTCTTCCAAGCCCTTCTCCACCCCTGGGCTAGAAAGAGAGATGTTAAGACCTTGGCTAAGGGGAATTCCTACTTAGCGGCAGAGAGAGGCTTTGGATGGCTTTTGACAGGATAACATGCCTCTGAAAATGGCTTCAGGCGTACTGCGGGGTTTTGACAGCCCTTCCACGTCTTCACTGCAAATTTCCCGGGCTCCAGGCACCATCAGGATAAAGCGATTTATATTGTTTTGATCCTTCCTTCCCCCATTAACCAAAGTTGCTTGACCCAAGCGCTGTCAGGTCAGAGCTGTGCGGGGGAGAGAGGGCAGGCAGAAAATCCCGTGAGGCCGAATTTGTACACTCTTGATTTCACTAAGCAGGACTTGAAGGTAGCCTGATAGTAAATGAAGGATGAAGGATCTTCTCCCAGGTGTATCTTCAGATTTCTGGAGGAATTGAGTATTGGTCTGATCTGTAAATCAGCCCCCGTTGGAGTGTCCCTTCTGTAAGTTGGTCTAGACCAGGGGTAGGCAGCCTTGGCTCTTTTATGACGTGTGGACTTCAACTCCCAGAATTCCTGAGCCAGCATGGGGGAACTATGGCTCGCTTTATGACTTGTGGACTTCAACTCCCAGAATTCCTGAGCCAGCCATGCTGAGGGGAAAGGGAGAGGTTTCCAAGCTGAGCCATCCTGGTTCAGGAATTCTGGGAGTTGAAGTCCACGAGTCATGAGGGGGCCATAGTTCCCCCATGCTGGCTGAGGAATTCTGGGAGTTGAAGTCCACAAGTCATAAAAGAGCCAAGGTTGCCTACCCCTGGTCTAGACCAGAGGATCCCAACCGGGGAGTGCAAGACAATATTTCAGGGGTGTGAAAACTTGGGTTTAGAAGTTTCAAAAGTATAGGGTATATGCCTAACCAGGTATTACTTTTGTAAGGGGTTGTGAGAATACTTCAGAAGCATTCTAAGGTTGCAGGGTATAGAAAAGGCTGGGAACCGCTGGTCTAGACTAAGAAACCAATGCTGTTTAGGTCAGGACTACTTTTGTTGTAAAGCTGTAGCAAAGAACCTTGCAAGTCTGAAAAAGATAGTACCGATTTACACTAGCCTGGTGAGGCCATACTTGGAATACTGTGTCCAGTTCTGGTCACCACAGCGCAGAAACGATGCTGAGAGCCTAGAAAGAGTGCAGAGAAGAGCAGCAAAGATGATTAGATTGCTGGAGGCTAAAGCATACGAAGAACGGTTATGGGAGCTAGGTATGAAAGAGAAAGATTGGGGGGACATGATAACTCTCTTCTAGTACTTGAGGGGCTGTCACAAAGAAGAGAGGATTGACTTAATCACAATTGAGCTGAGGTCTTCTAGTCGAGCCCCCTCACTGTCAGGAAATTTCTCCTTAGTTCTAGGTAATACTACTACTACTACTACTACTACTACTACTACTACTACTACTGCTACTACTACAACAACAAAACAACTGGAGCACCACTTGAACACCATTGGCATTGACAAATTCACTATTAGTCAATTGCAAAAGGCGGCCTTACTAGGAACCGCTTCCATCCTGCGACAATATCTGTAATACCATCAAACATCCACATCTGCCTATCCCAGGTCCTGGGTAAGGACTCGATAGGTAGACAAAATGCCAAATCCAGTCTGAACATCTGGCTGACTGTGCGATGATCCATAATAATAACAATAATAATAATAATAAAGTCTGGATAGTGGACGTGGCAGTGCCTGGAGATAGCAGAATAGAGGAGAAAGAACTGGAGAAGATAACAAAATGCAAAGACCTACAAATAGAAATAGAAAGACTGTGGCAAAAGCAAGCAAGGGTAGTACCAATAGTCATAGGCTTCTTGGGTACAATCCCAAAACAACTGGAGCACCACTTGAACACAATTGGCATTGACAAATTCGCTATTAGTCAATTGCAAAAGGCGGCCTTATTAGGAACTGCTTCCATCCTGCGACGATATCTGTAATACCATCAAACATCCACATCTGCCTATCCCAGGTCCTGGGTAAGGACTCGATAGGTAGACAAAATGCCAAATCCAGTCTGAACATCTGGCTGACTGTGAGATGATCGATAATAATAATAATAATAATAATAATAATAATAATAATAATAATAATAATAAAGTTGGAAGGGACCTTGGAGGTTATCGAGTCCAACCCCCTGCTCAGACAGGAACCCTACACCATTTCAGACAAATGGCTGTCCAGTCTCTTCTTAAAAACTTCCATTGTTGGAGCATTCACCGCTTCTGGAGGCAGGTTGTTCTACTGGTTAATTGTTCTAACGGTGGGGAAGTTTCTCCTTAGTTCTAGGTTGCTTCTCTCCTTGATGAGTTTCCATCCGTTGCTTCTTGTCCTGCCTTCAGGCGCTTTGGAGACTAGCTTGACTCCCTCTTATTTATGGCAGCCCCTGAGATATTGGAACATCTTAATGTGAACTGAGACGCTTGCTCTAATTACAGTTCTGTCCCAGACTCAAAATGTCTTTCATGTGACTGTTGTCTTGGTAGCGCCTTTTCCTTCTGTCCTTCAAAACCCTTCACTGTGCTGTCTACAAATTTTCTAAGGATTTTTATTTTTTGCGGAAACATTTCATTGTAAATTTTCTTCTGGGCTGCCAATCTGAATTAGAGGCTGATGGAGAATGGCTTCAGCCTCAGAAATACACCAGTTAGGTTTTGTTCTGTGCCTTCGTGGGTTAAAACGGGGGTCCACAACTACTGGGACGAGGCCTGTTTGAATCTGGGCCACGGGAGAGATGGGCAAGAGTGGAGCTTCACACACAAGCACAGGTGCCCTCTGCTCACCCGAATGGCGGTTCACGCATGAGGGCAAACGTCTGCTGCTCGCACGAGTGCTTTGCCCCTGAGAGCAAGCCCCCTTCGCTTGCGCGCAAAGCTCCATTAGTGCGAGTGGAGTGGAGGGCGTGCATGTACACCACTGGAGCCTCCCCCAAGCTGGAAAGGTTGGGGGCCGCTGTGTAAAAAGACACACATTTCTTTGCTAGAATACTAAGGTTCCAATTGTTGTTCCTTTTGCAGCAGAAGAAAAACACAGATTAACACCTAGCCCAGTTCTTTGTCCTTATTAGTTTCCTAGTCTCACCTTTCCCATCGTGGAGAGCCGTTTTAGCTCATTTGTACATTCAGGTCACCTTTTTGCTCGTCCGAGTTCCGATCCCGATTTTCATGAAATTTCCCACGAGGTCTTCCAAAATCCTGGGTTAAATAGTGACCCTGAAAAAGGATCAGCAGTGCAGTACTTCCAGCAGCTGGACAATCTCGAAGGGCTTCCGTGCTGCTTTTAATTGAGGTGTTACTAATTTCACAGGGTGGGTGAGTAAACTGCCCTTCAAGGCCGGATCAGCTCCAAACGATTACACGGAGACATTTGGGGGTTTATGTTCTGAGCAGAACCACGGAGGTTTGCCTGCTTATTGCCTTCTGGTTTCTCCAGCCCAATCTAATCTTCAACCTCTGGCCCTGCTTAGCTTACACCTCTCACCCTGCCACAGTTGTTTACTTTACCTACGTCACACCTAAGGATCGTAACAACTGCAACCCGAAGTCAGTGCGAATTCTTTTTTAACTTTCTGCAAAAGCACGGGATTGCGGATTGGAAGGGAAGAGACTTCTGTGCGATGCAAAGGAATACAATTAGGCAGCAAGTGATCTCAAGCTATCCACCTGGAAAGTCCCAATTATGTTCAAAACTCCCCAAAACTGGATAGATGGATGCCTGCGTTTCATTTAAATTTCATTTCGCATGAATTGCTTTTCTGTCTGTGCTTCCCTAAGAGGTTACGTGCTAAGCCACCTACTCTGTTTACGCAGCTAATGATCTGTATGTAGTAATTAGCAAGGGAAGGCATCATTAAAGGATTTAGTGTGTAAGAGGACTTGATTGGCATAAGCCAACTTCACGTGTTTGGTCTCTATATCGAAGAGTCAGAAGTGCTAATTTTCAAAATGTAGTGTATTTTTTTTTTCTTGATGAGAGAGGCAAAAATAAAGACTTCAAAACCAGTTTGTTTGTTTTTTTTCTCCCAGGCAGTCTTTTGGATGCTGCTCCTTAAGAATGGGAAGTGATTAGTCACTTGAACAGGTTTTAACCTAGCTTAAAGAAGTTGAAGTCCTTACGAATAGTCCTCATGGTCTCAAACAACAATCCATGTTTTGCCTTTTAAAAAACATAATGGTGTATAAATGGCAGTAATCTTTCCCCGTTTAGCGCAATTATTTTTTTAAAAAATAGCCAAATCTGCATCCAGAAAAATACCCATGATATTTACAAATATTCAAAGCGAATGCCTTTTCCTTATTGTCTGAATACTGGAGGTTTTTAAGAAGAGATTGGGACACCGATTCGTCTGAAATGGTATGGGGTTTCCTGTTGGAGTTGATTAGGGTGGCCCAAAACGATAGCGTTGACGTACACAGCAAGAGAAACACAAAGGGGTGGATTCAAGGCCGGCAAAAAACGAGAAGGATAATCGAAATGAATCTTAATGTTTATAATAATAATAAAAAAAAAATTAAAGTAGCTGCAAAACAGAATCCGGTAAAAGGGGAGACCTTGATCTCCCTGTCCTTGATTGTGTGAATTCATGCTGGGAAGTACATGTACGAGACTTAGTCATTGCTATGAAAATATTAGAAGTGCTGCTAAGCCTCTCCGATATTAAGCGGATTCAGAAATTGCTCGCTTTTCTTTCTTTCCCTCTGACAAGTTCTAAGCACTTTGAGGTTGGGAGGCTGGTCTGGGGTCAACGTTTCCAAAAGCATCACAAGCAAACTTGGGGTTTTTTTTGTTTTGTTTTGTCAGCTCCCTGGAACAGTTTCCTTTCCCGAGCGCCTCTGCCTTTATAGGGGGGGGGGCTTTAACGTTGTGCAATGCGCAGTACAAAATGAAAACTTGACCCTCTTTGGAAGACGATAACATCAGTTCTGATATGATTGTTTTACATCTGGAAAACACTTAATCTGCGTCCTGCCTTTTTAAGCACTTAAAGAGAAAATTATTCTGTTGGGATTTTAAAAACAGTGTGGGGGGGGGGAAGTGAGTGGATAAAGCATCTTCAGGGAGCTGACAGTCACTCCCCCCTGCTGCATATCTGGTGGTCTCTCTCTGTCTCTCTCTCTCTCTCTCTATCTATCTATCTATCTATCTATCATCATCTCCAGGATCTATCTATCTTTCTTTCTCCCCCCCCCCTCCAGTATATCTATCTATCTATCTATCTATCTATCTATCTATCTATCTATCTATCTATCTATCTACCTATCTGTCTATCTATCTATCTATCATCCCCAGTACAGACTTACTTCCTATCTATCTATCTGTCTGTCTATCATCATCATCTCCAGGATCTATCTATCTACCTTTCTTTCTTTCTTTCGTTCTTTATTTATTTATTTATTTATTTATTTATTTCCTTTCTCTTTCCTTCTCTCTTTTTTCTCTTTCTCTGTATTTCCTTTCTCTTTCCCTTTCCTCTTTCTTTCTTTCTTTCTTTCTTTCTTTCTTTCTTTCTTTCTTTCTTTCTTTCTCAAAAGTATTCATGGTGTAACAAACCCACATTTTCACCTTTTTTATTGATCTGTTGGAATCTTTACTCCTCTTTGATAATCCTGGTGGCGTGCCCCTATCAGGAAACAAAGATTTTCAAAAGTTGTTCAGGGTGAACTTAATTTTTTCCTGTCGTCCATTCAGGTCTCGCTCAAGATCGCCGAGAAGACGGGCACACACCCCCGAAAGGCATCGAGAAGAGAGGAGCGTTCCGACTGCCTATCGTGTGAGCAATAGCCCGGGCATCAGCAGAAGACGCACCCATTCCAGGTACACAACGTGCTTGCAGAACATTACTCCAGAATGGGAACACTGAGGCTTTCTTGATTTAGATGGCTTTGTCCAGCTCTTTACATCACTTTCTCCATTCCTTTTTAACATACAGAAAGTCCTTGTTTAACAGCCACAGTTGAGGCTGGCAGGCCAGCTATTACGTGAACTTGCCGCATTTGTGAAAGTCGTAGGTGCGAGGATCAGTCGGAAAGTAGAATAGAATAGAATAGAATAGAATAGAATAGAATAGAATAGAATAGAATAGAATAGAATAGAATAGAATAGAGCTGGAAGGAACCTTGGAGGTCTTCTAGTCCAGCCCCCTGCTCAAGCAGGAGACCCTATACCAGTGGTTCTCAACCTTTATAATGCCGCGACCCCCAACCGGTCGTAGGTCGAGGACTACTCAACTGGTGCAGCACCGTTGGCAGAATGGGACTTTTGGCGGGCTCAGCAGGGCAGAGACAGCCTGGACAATTCCTATTGGCTTTTGAAAGCCAATAGAATTAGACTCTATTCAAGAGAGTCTATTTTATTGGCTTTCAAAAGCCAAGAGAATAAAGGGGAGTAGCACAGCTAAGGAAAAGGGGGAAAAAATGGCGGACTGCGTTGTTTGGCGACCCCCGTGAAATGGTCGTTCGACCCCAAAAGGGGTCCCAACCCACAGGTTGAGAACCACTGCTCTATAAAATCTCAGACAAGTGACTGTCCAGTCTCTTCTTTAAAACCTCCAGTGATGGAGCTAAACAATGATATGTTTTAAAAAGGAGCCCAAACTTTGTTTGGGGATGCTTTCTGCATCAACTTTACTAAAGAGGCTAGGAAAAAAATCCCGTGGTCTTCCTTCCCTAAATTTTGTAGATGACTGGGTGCCCCCTTTCCATTACAGATGAGCAATGGAATTAGGTGGCGGCGCTGAGACCCCGATTCCAAAGGGCATAAAACCGAGAGATTGATTTTGATTATGTTTTTCGGACATCCTTTCAGTAGACACTTCTGGGCACGGGTCCCAATTTATTAATAATTGCAAATATAAGCCGGCAAGAAAGCAAAAGAGACAACGCGCGTAGACTAAGACAGGAGTCCAGGAGAGTGATCTACAGAAAAGAGCAGGAGTGAGGTGGGGCGCCTTTCAGCATCTTTATGGCTCAAATTATTCTCTGATTTAGGAGGCTTTGGTTACGAGGAATGCAAACAGCCCTGATAGCGAGAAACCTTCCCGAGGATGGCGATGTTTATGGTGCACGGCAGCTCCATCCATCTCCATCGCCCGGGGTTTTAAAATATGCTGCGTGGGTTGCCTTGTCCCTGCGTACTGCCTTTACATCCTGCCTTCTCCACGGAGAAATGCCTAACTATTTACATCCATGGCGCTATGGCGAGATACGTGCTGGAAATCTTAATGCAGTGATGGCGAACCTTTTAGAGACCGAGTGCCCAAACTGCAACCCAAAACCCACTTATGTATTGTCGTGTGCTGGGCAGGCGTGGCCTATTGGGTGGGTGTATCCCATTGAGTGGGTGAGGCACACACTTAAAAATCAAGCTGGGGTGGGGGTGTGGAGCTGTCCCACATGCCCAGTACCCACACATCTTGCAGCCAGGCCTCGCCTCGCCAGCCCACTTCTTCTTCTGCAGCTAGGCCTGCATTTCTGGAAAGGCCACTGCAGGCAAGAACCAAGCTACAGATTGAATCCATAGCTCGGTACTCGGCTGCAGAGGCCTTCCGGAAAAGCCTGACTACAAAATGCACTCCTTCGGCTGCAAAAGAAGGGGACCAGCTGAGCAGGGCTGTCAGTGCAGGAGGTGAGTAAAAAAAGACACACACCCCTTGAAAATAAGACTTGGTACCTCTTTTGCGGGGGGGGGGGGAGATCCTGGTCTTATTTTCGGGGAAACACGGGTACTACGAGGCATATTCTTTGCCGGGGGGGGGGAAACCTGGGGATTTGAGTCAGATAAGAAGCATCACCTACTCCTTCCTCTGAAAATATGCTTTTTCCTACTTCTTCAGCAAGGATGGACTGTTCTATCCCTGGTTCTGTCTCCGGGTAGAGGCTGGAGATTAAGGAGCAAAGTTTTCCGTTGATAACAGAATCGCAATTGTAAATGGAGCCCAGAATTAGAATTGTAAGTCAGTGGTGGGATTCAAATACTTGAACAGCCGGTTCTCTGTGTGGATGCAGGTCTGGGCCTCCGAAGCCTAGAACGGACTTCCTGGAATTTTCCAGGGTCTTCCCTTCCGCTGTGGTTTTCACCCGGGACCTGGGCCTGATTCACGCAGGAGGAAACTCTTCCGACACCAGGAGCTCCTTCGGAAAATAAATAAATAAAAATAAAGTCGTTTTTGATGTGAAAGAGAAGATTAAAACAGGAGGGCGAGCCGTGGTTTTGGGTTTTTTTTTCCCCTTGGCCTCTGTTGCGATGGCGTGTTTTAGACTTAACGGGATTGTGCTGTGTGTTCCTGTTTCCTTTTCAGAAGCCCCCATGAAAAGAAGAAGAGACGGTCGCATTCCCACACGAAGTCCAAAGCTAGATCCCACTCGCCTTCCATCTCGCCGGGAAAGCCATCCGCCCATAAGAATTCCAGTCACTCAGCCAGCATCTCTCCTGTGGAGAGCCGAGGATCCAGCCAAGAGCGTTCTGGGTAATGAGCCCCCGAGAGCCCCCATTCCGGCCGAGCGTATAAATAATCCAAAATGAGAAAGTAAATAATGATAAAAGCGGGGGGGGGGAGGCTTGCTGATTCTCTGCCAGAAAAAAATAATAATCATCCAAGCTCAGTTTGCTTTTCTTCTCCAAACCTTTGGGGCGAACGCAGTAAGCAGGCGTTGAGCATGTTAGAATTGTAAATGCTCCAGCATCACAAAGGTGCACTGCGGTTCTTTAGCTGGTTACCTGTTCGCCCTCCTGCATCGCGTGAAATACTGAAGAGGAGCTAAAGAGGGTTAAGTAGATGGGCTCTGCAGATGGGCTCGGCTGGTGGAGTTGAAGTGTAAGGAAAAGATGCTGGTTTTTTCGAGAGGGAGGGAGGGAGGGAAAGAGGGATGGATGAATGGAGATTAGAGATAGACAGACATGTATGGATAGATCAGTGGTTCTCAACCTATGGGTCGCGACCCCATTTGGGGTCGATCGACCATTTCTCGGGGGTCGCCAAACAAGGTTATCCGCCATTTTTCCCCCTCGGGGCGGCGCCGCGCATGCGCGGCACGTTTGTGTAATGGGGGTCGCCGTCATACAAACGTTGAGAACCACTGGGATAGATAGATAAAATGGGAGGGTGGATGAATGGATGGAGATTGGAAATAGACATGTATGGATGGATAGGTAAGGAGGATGGATGGATGGAGATTGGAGATGGACATGTATGGATAGATAGGTAAGGAGGATGGATGGATGGAGATTGGAGATAGACATGTATGGATAGACATGTATGGAATAGGTAAGGAGGATGGATGGATGGAGATTGGAGATGGACATGTATGGATAGATAGGTAAGGAGGATGGATGGATGGAGATTGGAGATAGACATGTATGGATAGACAGATGAATGGATGAGTGGATGGATAGATGGATGGAGATTGGAGATGGACAAACAGACATGTATGGATAGATAGGTTAAGAAGGATGGATGGATGGGTGGGTGGAGATGGACAGACAGACATGTATGGATAGATAGGTAAGGTGGGTGGATGAGTGGATGGATGGAGATTGGAGACGGACAGAGTTGTTGCCCCTGACTGACACCTATTGCCTCCAGTCTGATTTTAATTGGAAATTCAACTGTGGCAAGATTCCTTTTCAGGAGCAACAAGGTTCAATCTTCTCCAATTCAATTTGGAGAAGGGTTAGATCACAGGTCTCAGCACAGAAGCATCCGAATACTTACAGCCGCTTCATTGGGGGGGGGGGGCAGAATGAACTAAAACAGTAAGGATGGTAGATCCTTTAGAGGAATAAATTTCTTCCTTTAGAAGTTGAAGAAGAGCATCAGAGTAACTCTGAATTTTTCTCTCTGCCTTAGCCACCCTGCCTAAGCACATTCTATCAGCAGAGGGAGGGGAAAGCCCAGAGCAGCTCAAATCTCTCCTAAGCAGAGTTTGGGGAAGCCATCAAACTCTTCCCTTGCTCGTTCTTTCTTCCATTGTCCAAGAATCCATTCGGCATCTCTCCCGCTCTCCCCATCTTTGTCCCTAGTTGGAAAGAAAGATCCAACCAAGTTTAAGACAGGAAAACCACATGGAAACTGTCAACTCTCTGAATGGCATTGCAGTCTCTCTGAAGTTATTTGAAAGCCTCGCGTTGGCTCTTTGACATCTCAAATCAATTTGAAGGTTCGGCGTGAATAGATGATTCTGCTGGCTTTCCGTGGAATCCGATTTCCCCTTTGAAGCTTTGCCCGTCTCGTCTCTCAGAGAGCTGCGTTTTTAATTTTATTTTCTTGCATTTACATGAAAAACCCGGAACGGTGGTTGTTTCTTCTTCTTCTTCTTCTTCTTCTTCTTCTTCTTCTTCTTCTTCTTCTTCTTCTTCTTCTTCTTCTTCTTCTTCTTCTCCTTCTCCTTCTCCTTCTCCTTCTTCTCCTTCTTCTCCTTCTTCTCCTTCTTCTTCTCCTCCTCCTCCTCCTCCTCCTCCTTCTTCTTCTTCCCCTTTATTTTGGGAGATGTTCCAGGGACTTGTTTCTCTCCCAAAAAAGAGAGAGAGAGAGATGCAGCCTGGTTTTGTCTGAGAAAACTGGTCATCGGCAAATGTTGCAGAAGTGGCTTAATGTTAATTATTTAATCCCATGGGAATATTTGTTGAGAAGATGCCAGTTCAGGATGCACCACTGGTGAGAATTTGCAGGGTGAGGGGGTCCAGGCTTTGTGTCAGAGTCCAGCTAAAGCAGTGGTTCTCAACCTTTCTAATGCCGCGACCCCGTAATACAGTTCCCCATGTTGTGGTGACCCCAAACCACTTATACATCACCGGGTGCCAGGGGCGTGGCCAAAGAAAAGGGGGGAAAAATGGCAGACAGCCTTGTTTGGCGACCCCCGTGAAATGGTCGTTCAACCCCAAATGGGGTCCCGACCCACAGATTGAGAACCACTGAACTAAAGATTCAAAGTGTTTCCTCTGATTATGTTTTTTTTTCCCCACTGATCTTACAAGATGTCTAAAAGGCAGACTAATCGCATTAATTTCCTGAAAAATGCAGAATGCAAAAAAACCTCCTTCCAGTTCCTTTCACTCCACCGTTCTTCTGTTTTTCATGTTTAATTGCAGTTGCTCAACTTAACTCGGCTAATTACCTGTCAATTCATTTTTTTTTTCTTCTTCTCAAATTTTCAGGGGAGTTCCTTTGGAAAAAGAGGGCCAAATCTCTTCTGCAATTGTGTCGTCCGTTCAGAGTAAAATCACTCAGGTACAACTAAATGGGTCCTGGATTTTACAAGGCTTTGCAATTACTGCAGTTCTTGCTCGTCTTGTGGGGTGTCGGGTTAAAGTGAAAAAATAAAATGAAATGTAATGGGGAGAAAAGCAAAGTTTTACACTTAGGCAGGAAAAACCAAAGGGATAAGTAAAGATTAGGTGAAACCTGGCTCAAAAACAGCAACTGTGAGAGGGACCTTGGGGGTCCTAGTGGACAATCACTTAAACATGAGCCAGCCAAAAAAGCAAATACAATCCTGGGTTGCATAAACAGAGGCATAGAATCAAAATCACATGAAGCGTTAGTACCGCTTTATAAAGCCTTAGTAAGGCCACACTTGGAATACTGCATCCAGTTTTGGTCACCACAGTACAAAAAAGATGTTGAGACTGGAAAAAGTACAAAAACTAAGACGATTAAAGGCCTGGAGACTAAAATATGTGAAGAACAGTTGCAGGAATTGGATTTGACTAGTCTAGGAGAAAGAAGGACTAGGGGGGACATGATGGCAGTATTTAAGTGGAAGGGGTCAATTTATTTTCGAAAGGACCAGAGGGCAGGACAAGAAACAGTGGAGCAAGGAGAGAAGCAACCTGGAATTAAGGAGAAATTTCTTAATAGTGAGAACGATTAAAGGGTGCCTCCAGAAGTTGTGGATGCTCCATCCCTGGAGGTTTTTAAGAAAAGTCTGGATAGTCACTTGGTGATTAGGAATGAGTGAGTATAGCCCCACCCACCCCCAAACGAGTCTCAAACCCATCTTTTTCTCCAGTTCTTTTACAGACTGAAACTTTTTTCTGCTCCCAACAATGGGAGACTTTTAATCTCCTTCCTTTTCAGTCCTTGCAATATATAAAAAAAAAGTCTTAGATCCATCATCCATGAGAGTCCCTATCATCCAGTCATGGTTGTCCCAAAGTTGCTTTTTCCAAAAGCAATTAGACTTTCGTGGTTTTTTTTTTCCTTGAAAACGTGTCACTTCACATCCAAGAAGCTTCTTCAGTTCTAACTGGATGAGAAGCAAAATGTTTTTTAAAGAAAAAAACCAGTAAAGTCCACTTGCCTTTTGGAAAAAGCAACTTTTGGATCCGTCTTATCTCCCTTCCTTTTATCTAGACAATTCCAAAACCCACAACACCTTGCCTTTTTTTGGAACAATTTTTTATCATTAAAGTTACCAAAGTAATTACTTTAAAAGTAATTATCTTACGCTGTTAAGTACAGCAGTGGGAAAACAAGGACACTGAAAAACTGTGATAAGGTTCATTTACAGATTTGGATATAATAACAATGTGTTGGGTTTTTTTTCTTGGTTGGTCAAAGGATTAGAAAGTAGCTTAAATAGGCATATTTTTTCCTTCAGCACACTAAGAACAGTGCATATAAATCCTCCTCTCTTGTGTTCAGTTTTCCTTCACACAACCTGGTCAAGAAAACAATAATGTAGCAATAGCCCTGTTCAGGTTCCCTTTCCTAAAAAAAAAAAAACAAAAAACAACCCACATTATCTTGGGTTTATTGCAAATTTAATTTGACTTGGTAGGATTGCCTCTAAATATGCTTTGGAGTTTTTCTTCATACATTAATTTCGAGGCATTGCGATGGATGAAAGTTAACAATTTGCACCATTTTTCCTAAGCATGATCACAGCATGGATGTTCCTTCCCTCTCGGAAAGAAAGAGGATTTTTGACACTCAGATGACTGAAGCCATTGGAAATGTTTTTTTTTGGGGGGGGGGGTCAAAACAGGCTGCTTAGCTTTGAAAGGGCGAGATGAAAAACAGCTGTCAAGCTTCATCAAGGGAGTCTTGACTTCAAACCTTGGGAAATGATCACCAGTTAAAAGATTCTTTTTTCACCACTAAGAAAAAGAAATGCAGAGTAGGTTTTCATTTGCTTCCTTGTTTGGAAAACGGGCACAAGAAACTGTGTGTGGAAAGCCTTTTCTGCATTACAAAAATGTTGTAAACCTTTTAGTGACAGCCGTGGTTAAAATCTTGGATATCCTCCTGTTTGCTACGTTTTCCAGAGTGGCTGAACAGAAGCCAGCAATTTTGCAGCACAGACATGCCAAGGAAATATTTCCAGGCATACTGAAACTGGCCATTTGAATTTTGGAAGCCAGCTTCTTGCTTTCTCTAGTTGCAGAAACCTTCACATAATACGCTTAACCCCATTTCTCTGCAAAACATGGGCAAATCAAGTCTTGTTAGACAATGCTGGTTAACTGCTTTGCACGGTTATGTACAGAATACCAGAATTGGAAGGGGCCTTGGAGGTCATTTAGTCCAATCCCCTGCTGAGCAGGAGATCCATTTCAGACAAATGGTTGTCCAGTCTCTTCTTAAAAACCTCCAGTGTTGGAGCAACTGCAATTTCTGGTTGGCAACTCGCTCCACTGATTAATTTTTCTCACTAGCCGAGAAATTTTTCCATATTTCTAAGTTGCTTCTCTCCTTGATTATTTTCCATCCATTACTTCTTGAGTTGGTTTGGAGAATAAGTTGACCTCCTCTTCTCACGTATTGGAACGTTGCTATCCTGGTCCTTCTTTTCATTAAACTAGATATGACCTAATTCCTGCAATCGTTCTGTCTATGTTTTTATAAATAATGATTACAGCATTGATTATAAGCAGCCTTCTGCTATCATAATATTTCTTTCTGGAGCAAAAAAACACTCCCAAATTTGTAAGATAGCATAGTAGGATTCAAGGATATCGGCATCCTGCAATGTAGAATCTAGGAATCAGTGAGAAATGAAACATGAGTTCAACCACAGCCAGCATTGGAAAAAAGTGCATTGGCAGATTTGACAGAATTGTTCTGATCCGACAAAGTTTTTCCCCTTCGGGACAGGGTCTGTGAAGCCACAGCCCGCCTCTGGTCTGATCTTTTCAGAAGTTGCCCTAAAAAAGGCCGCTTTTGAGAAATGTCAAGTCATCCCGAGCAATTAAATGAGACGGCTAACCAAACTTAGCTTATCCTAAAATACTTTTTTTTTTTTTTTGGCCTGCTAGATACCCTTGACAGAATTTGTAAGCAGACTGGAAGCTACTTACCCTTCCATTTGACATTTTCTCCATTTGTGGAGTCCTTGGTGCTTCGATTCTTTTCTTAACAGACGTTTCATTACTGAACTAGGGAACATTACCAGTGCTAGAAGGGAGTGGGGCTTTCTCCCTGTCCTTGCTGGTGGGAGTATTTGATCATTCCTTGATTAAGCTGTTACTTATTGAGTTCCTTGATTGGAGAAATTGCATTGAGATACAGACAGAAAGCAAACCCACTCCTTTGTAGCACTGATGATGTTACCTAAGTGGGTAATGAAACGTCTACAAGAAAACAACCCAGCTCGGAGAGCACCGAGGACCCCACAGTCTTCCTCCTCCTCCACCCCACTCCCTTCTAGCACTGATGACGTTACCTAGCTGGGTAATGAAATGTCTGCAAGAAAACAACCCAGCTCGGAGAGCACCGAGGACCCCACAATCTTCCTCCTCCTCCACCCCACTCCCTTCTAGCACTGATGACGTTACCTAGCTGGGTAATGAAATGTCTGCAAGAAAACAACCCAGCTCGGAGAGCACCGAGGACCCCACAATCTTCCTCCTCCTCCCCCCCACTCCCTTCTAGCACTGATGACGTTACCTAGTTGGGTAATGAAACGTCTGCAAGAAAACCATCAATGTCAGAGAGCACCAAGGACCCCACAATTCAATCCTAAATTGCCAATATTCCCTTCTTTTGGCAAGGTGGCAAGAAGTATGCTTGCTGTTGAAGAGATGCTCAGCAGACCTTTGGCAGACAGACGGTTTGGTTATTATTGCTGTCTGACTTGTTTTTGTTTTATGCTTCTTTTGTGTTTGTTGCAGGATCTTATGGCCAAGGTGAGGGCGATGCTTGCAGCTTCTAAAAATATTTCAACCAGTGCCTCTTGAGACGGGAAAGATGGAAGCTCCAGAAGGAACAAAAAGTCCTCCTTAGCTGGGAGGGGGGAAGAGTCCTCTTGCAACTGCTGCCCGAGTTGCAAAAACTTCCTTTGCAGAAAAACAGCCCTGGGAAGGGAGCTTTGTAAATTATATTCTGATTGGTTTCTCAGTAAGAATTTTACAACAAGCGGTGCCTGTATATTTGTAAATACGACATTCCGGCGAGTGTTACCCAAATAAAAAATGCAGAGAAATCCTTTTTATTAGCTAAAGGCTTTTTGGAGATTGGTTGTTACTGTTGTTGTTGTTGTTTCTCCTTTCCTTTGTTTCAGATGACCTTACGCTCGCTTTTCAATCAGGTTCCTCTAAAGCAGTATGCGTAAATCGAATTTAGCAGAACAAAGCGAGGAAATGCTAATGAAAGCAGCAGGCAAAAGGAGGGAGAAAAATTAGGCCAAAGGACTGGCGTTTATTGAGCTGTATAGATTGTGCTTGGAAAGAATAATGCAAAAGGGTCGAAGGGAGCAGATTCCTACTATTCTCCAGGATGTAATTGGGAGCTGACTTGCAGGGTTTTATGGCCCCCAGTCAGAAAAAAAGCTAGATTAGTTAGTTAGTTAGTGACAAGCATTCCAAGATTTGGAATAAGACTTCTTCATGCCTTGCTGGAAGAGGAGCTCAAAATTCTCCAGATATGCAGAGCTCTGCCGATAAAGGTAAACCTCAATTTATTTGACTTTATCATAAAATAGAAGATAGTAAGTTATTTTTTTTTTTTGTGATAAGACAGAGTTGGCAGACTCTCTGTCTCTCTCTCTCTCACACACACACACACACACACACACCAAACAAACAATTTATTGGGACTTCTAATTAAAAATATATTGGGTGCTTGGAGGATATAATAATCGTCTCTTGAAGCACCACTTGTTGAAAATGCAAGGACAAACATACCACAGAAGACTGGCATTTTGCTACCAAATCTTTCGTGGGGCAATTCTAGAAGGATCCGGGATGTTCCATCCCAAATCCACCATACCAGAATTGGGGCGGTGCTGATTGTGTGAGGGTCTGGAAACCACAGCCGCTAGAACTCACGTGAAACTTAGTCTTGGGCTGAGGGGATTAATGCGTAAGCCATTTTGAAATTAGTCATAAAGGGGTAAAATTAGTCTAATAAAATCTCAGCCAGCTTTAGGCATTGGGAGGGGTGATTTAATGCTAGCTTTTTCCAAGTTTGCCTTCGTGTGTAGAGCCTCTTTAATTTTAAGAGTAAATGAATTCGCTGACCTATTTTTTCCTTGACCCGTTATTATTTCTACAATCACTTTTCTTAAACACAAAACCACTGCTGTTCTCCAGAGCAGCACTGTTTGTACTTAACTTTGTCCAGGTCCCAAACACAGCGTTAAAAATTAGGGAACACAAGGCAAGCCACAATCTGTTGGGTCATCATATCAGACGTACTTCCTTACCTAAATCGATAAACAGAATAACCTTAGGAAGCAAGCAGTAAGGAGTTTTGATTTCCTGCTGGCTTCCCCATTGACTTCGTGGGAAATCACATCGGGAGATCACCATCACATAACCGTGGATGGGTGCGGCAGCACAGCAGGGCGGTGGGGGGGGTGGCCACAATTTTGCCATAACAACTAATCTTTCAATATCAATCCCACAGGAGCCCCAGGACGCATTTGTTTTTAAGTTAATCCATTTGCGGCACCTTGATTCGAAAATTGTCCAGTTTTGCACCGTTTCGCCCAGCCGCAGGTTACAAACAAAAACAGGAGATTTTATACTTTATAGATGTTGCCTTGCCTTTGTAAACAGCTACTGGCAAACCGCAATTACGCACCGAATCTTGCCAATTTCCTATAATTATAGCTTGTACGAATGGAGCACAATGCCTTTTTTAAAATCCCAAAGAAATCAAGAGGGTTTTTTTTTTTTTAAACGGCAGCTCTGAACAAGAGCCAGATTAAAATTTTAAATAGGTCTTTGTTTCCGCCTTTAAAAAGTGGAACAATTCAGTTTCATAATATAGCGCGTGACAAAGCCTTTTGATTTCACAGATTTTATTATTATTTAAAAAAACGTCTGGAGACCTTGAGGTTAAAAAGTATTAGGAACTTCCAGAAAATCCTCAGTTAAACGGCTCAAACATTTTGCTTTACAACTTGGCCGTCATTCAGCACACCTGAATCCTGCTGATTTCAGAGTTACATCCGTTGTCGTTTTCTTAGCAACAATGCCGAAAAATTTGCCATTGTTAGACCTAGCCTGCAATCGAGGCATTTTCAAGTAGTCCTTCATCCCTGTATTAAGGAGTCCCAACCCTATTTGTCCTTTGACAATCTTTTTTTATCATTTATCAGTCTTTTGATGGACTGCATCAAGAGCGATGAAACATCTGCAAGCAAAGCATCAAGCTCGGAGATCTTTAGAGGGTGGGTTTTTTTTTTTTTTTCAAATTGTTTTCCCAAGGGGCAATTTCTTTTGTCTTCTTTTCTTCCTACGCAATGCATTGTAGTTCGCAATGCATTGTAGTTCGAATGCTGTTAATGGCATGTCTCCCTTTTTTTTTCCTTCTCTCTAAAATATATCCCCTATTTAAAGAGGGGGGGGGGAAGAGCTACACCGTTTCCGTTCCCTGACTTTCTTCGCATTTTTTCCTGTATTGCACTTGACCGACTTCATAACTGCATTATGAAAAAAAAAAATAAGACGCTTTAGACCCTGATAAATAAGGACTTATTGTTTATTGGCAAGCGAAGTGCAGAAAGTTGTGTGTTCTGTTTTAAAGAAAAAAGGCACAGGAAATACATTCTGCTCCGTCTTACGGGGTGAGAAGGGGACGTCACAGGAGATGCACTATCAATCTTTTGTTCCTTGTTTGATTTATCCTTTAAATGCAAGTTATTTCCACTAAGTTCTTAATGTCTGGAGTGTTGCAGCAGTGGTGGATTCCAGACTTCATGGTGACGATAATGTCCGATTCTTGGCAATTCTATGGACCAGTTCTCTCTCTGCCTTCCGATCTTGCACTACTTCTTCAAGTTATTCTAGGTTCTGGCTGGTGTCACTTTTGATGGTGTCCAGCCACGATGTTCTTTGGTGGCCTGGTTTCCTTCTACCCCCTAACTCTTCCAAACATAATCGCTTTCTCCAGTGAATTGCCCCCATCATGACAAGGCCCCAATACGTGAGGCGCCGTTTTGTGATCTATAAATATTTGGTACTTTTACGACTGAATTCATTCACTATCAACATTACAGGGTTGGGGCTTTGTTGAACCACCACCTGGTTGGGATGACGAAGTGATGCGGCCCCATCGTGGCTTCTCACCTGGCCACATCCCGTCCGTTTGGATGTACAGAAGAGGACTCAAAACAACTCTTTTGCCCAAGTTCATTAGAGAACTCTCCGAGATCTTTAGATACAGGTAGTCCATTTAGTGACTGTTGGAAGTTACTGCAGCACTGCAAAAAACGTGACTTATGACCATTTTTCACTGCAGCATCTTCATGGCCACGTGATCAAAATTTAGACTCTTGGCAACTGACTTGTACTTAACGACGGTTGCAGAGTCCTGAGGTTATATGATCCCCTTTTGCAATCTTCTGACGGGCGCGGTCGATGTGGAAACCAGTTTCAGTTAACAACTGGTTTACTCACTTAACAACCGCCGTATTCACTAAGTGACCGTGGCAAGAAAGGTCGTAAAACGGGACTAAACTCACTTGACAAAGGTCTCACTTAGCAACAGAAATGTTAGGCTCAATTGTGGTCGTAACGTTGAGGACTACCTGTATTTATCCTTCCTTGACTGCTCCTTTTCAAAAAAGAAAGAACAAACTGCTTTTCATCTTTTCCAGAACAGTGGGAGATGTTTCTTATTACTTTTACAAGGATTTTGGATCCCCCGTCTCCCCGTCTTTTTTTTTTTTTAATAAGTGTTTTGCCACACCACAGAGACAGGGTATGAAAAATAGAAAGCCTTTGCCTTTCCGTGGCTACTTCCATATAATATTAATAACCACTTAGCTGACCATAAATTTGTTGAAATGGGTCTGGGTGTAATTGAAATCACCCACATACATTTCCATTAAGGTAGTTGGAGAAAAGATAGGTTTTTCACTCCGGGCTGCCTAGAGGCAAATATTAAACCCATTCAAGGCACTTTTTACAGAAGCCAAAAATAGTTGAAATTTGCCCTTGAAAGTTCTGACTCTTCTCAACGATCTTATCAAAAAGTTGACTTTCCAAAGATAATCAGCGATATTTGGGAGGCTGGTAAAACAGATTTTTTCCCCCTTTCTTTTGACTTTTATTTCTAACCCTAGCACACACACTGCCCACCATTTTTCTACAGAATTTGAATATCTTAAAAAGTTTCTTCATCCTTTTCCCTGTCTTTAATAAACCTTTTTACCAAGTTAAGAAATGTATCTATTTCCTATAGGGTTTTTTTTTTCATTTAAATATGATTTATTTTGTTTTCCTTGATTAATACACCACCAAGATAAGTGGTCAGATCTGGAATCCTCACTGCATTATGCAGCCTCTCTTTAACATTCACTGCAAAGTGATTAAGTCTGATTTGTTCTGGTTTCTTTCAATAATACATTATCAAGATAAATTAATTTTCAGAGCTATCATCCTCGTTGCATTATACAATCTCTCCAACATTTGCTGCAAATCTTTTGGCTTACCAGCTAATAACGTGACACCACTGACCTCGAAAACTACACCTACATTCACATCCCCATCTAATGTTACCACAAGCATTCCTATCCATATAACCACAGATATAGTAAATGAAAACAGAATTGATTTTTCCCGGAGGAAAAAAAAAGGACAGAGGAAAAAGATGTTTTTTTTTAAAAAAAAAAAAATCAATTTGGCTATGATGATTGAAGACAAACTGTCATTTGGGGAGTAAGCCAGTTCACTTTTCACTCTGTGAAGTATCAGGTTTAAGGGATTCAGTGCTGAAGATAGAAGATTTGCAGATTCTGAACAGCTTATCATTCACATCAAATTGATGCTTCCAGAGATGAGAGCTTTTCAAGATGCAGACGTTTTTGCCCTGCAGGACCTTCACTTTTCTTTCAAAAAGTGGAATAAATGCTTTGAAAGACGAAGAAATCAGGGTGGTTCATTCAGCCTGCCTTAATGTTTTTTAAAAAAAAAATTCCAGCAAATGCCACACTTGTTAGGTGACATTTGACCACAGTGAAGATTACAGACAAGAATTCCTGACAGATAACATACATTTTTTTCCTCCATCCATAA